CCTCACCAGCCCATGGTCCTTCTTGTTCCAGCTCAGCTGTTACCTCCTCCAGGAACACCCAGGTCCCTGAGCAGGTGCGCAGAAAGCACAGCCAAGTCAGGCCCCGGGGACACTGGGCAAACGCGTCCCCGCGTGCAGGGGCCTCTCCCCTCCGGGGACAGAGTGCCATGGACAGAGCTGTGTGCGGCCCCTGGCGGGCTGGGCCACTTCCACCTGTGTCCAAGCCACCGAAGGCCTGGCCGCGGAATCCTGGCTCAAGCCGGCCTCTCGTGAGCGTTCAGCCAGAGCCACGGCTTCGCCTTCTCTTTTTATGGCTGGTATTTAAGCACTTAAATAATATTTATTTATCACAGAAGTCACACATGATTGTTGGGATAAAAGCCCAAAGTAGTACATAAAGTAACAAGTGACGGTGTCTGTCCCACCGCACTCCGGGGAGACCGTGCTGGGCCTGGGCACGCAGAGACTGCCGGAGCAGCCACACAGGAACCGCTCTGGGCCCCACTCCGAGGCCAGGGGAGTTCTCTGGAGGAGCTGCGTGGTGCGGCCAGGCCCCTGCTCCCTGGGGAAGTCCCCACTCGAGTTGGGGTATCATCATCACTATGCTGGAGCAGAGAGGGTGGCCCAGTATCACCAAGGATCCTGGCTCCTGGTCAACCCCATAGGACCCAGATGCCATGTCTCTAACATCATGCCCAGATCTGAGGGTGTCAGCCCCCAGACTCATAAGGTATGTGTGGGGGCCCCTCAGAGGGCCTTTAGGGAGACCAAAGATGCAGCTTCCTAGGATGGCCCTGCCTCTGAGACTTGGCCCAGGACATGTCAGTTCTCCCAAGGCCCATGTCCCCGGGACCAGTGCCAGCAGGGTGTACCCTGCAGCCTGCTCATCTTCCAGCAGAGCACCTGGTGTCCTGGGCTTCCCTGCACCTCTCCGGTGCCCAGGGTGAGAGTTCGGCTCTGGTTGTCAGGTTCTTAGTGGATGCAGAGCTTGTGCTAAACACCTTCAGGTTGAATCTTGGCAACAACCCCTGCGGAGGATGGTATTATTATTATTATTATTACTATTATTATTATTTTCCTGAGGAAGAAGTCCCAAGCTCTCTGTCCAAGCTGCCACCTGTGGCCATGCTCTGCAGTTTGCTCCAGGCGCGGAGCTGTGTCCAGGACACAACAAGGGTCGTTGCTGCTGCTGTTGTCACATTATTCTGGTCCTCGTGTGGCACGTGCCTGCTGGGTCCTGTTGAAAGTCTCTGGAGCCCTGAGCCCTCCTTCTTCACAAGGAGTTTCCACTACATTCAGTACAAAGATGTGCGTTTATCCTGCCTCATCTCCATCATCATTCCTTCTCTTCTGTTGCCTGGGGCCCCAGGTCCTCTGGCTTAGCCCCCTTTCAAGGCCTGGGCCCTCGATGGGCTCTCTGGCCCGTAGCCTCCCAGGATGCCTCCAGCCAGGGTTCACCTGGTGCCAGCAAGACCTAACAATTGGAAAAGGTCAAAGAAGCAATCTGGGGACAGCAACTGCTTCAAATCGTGCTTAGGGCCCCAGGGCAGGCTGCTCCTCCTCTCTGAGCCTATTTTCTCTGCCTAAAAGGGGCAATTATGGGGCAGTTATCGGAGCTCCTATATGGGGAAGGTTGTGATTGCCACACTCATCAGCATTTAGAGTACACCTGCTTTTATGCTTTTACAAGGAAAGGCTCGGGGGCGGGGTCTAAATGCCTTTCTTCACGTGTGCATGGTAAGTGACCATCCCAAGTGGCTGGTGTGGTGAAGCGTGGCTGCATTCACGTAAACATGACAGTGTGTTCTGGGATCTAGCAGACAAGCTTAACGTCAGGAAATGCCATCATATTTTACCAGCTCGGGGAAAAAAAATGGATAAAATGACATAGCTAAGTAGGGCTCGAGCAGAATCTGTGAACATGGAGTGGGTAACGGGCTAATGTGCCAATGAGGGAATTTATGTGCCAGGAGAGCAAATACTGGCCTGTGTTTGGTGCAGGCCGATAACAGGAAGACAAACCCCAAATTAAACAAATATGAATGAATTTCTCTGCATGTAGACAGAGCAAATATATCTGTTAAAAATGGGTAGGGCAAGCAGCAAAATGTAAGAAATCAGAATGAACTCTGATGCTGAAGTAAAAACAAATATTTCACTGCGTACCTGGGGGTGGGGATTCAGAGAAAGGACTGTCTGGGAAGAACCACACACAACAGAGTCCCATGACTGTGGCCAGAAGGGGTTGGTAAGTGTCCTGAGGTGGCCAGGCTATCCTCTTATTAAGGTCTGTCTCCTGCATGCTTCCTCTCTGGAGCTCCTGGCCCTCCTGCTGACTGGCTCAACATCGGGGGGAAACTAGTTGGTGACAGCCATGTGACCAAGTCCACTGAAGCCCTCTCAGATCCACCTCAGTCTCCTGAGCTCGAGGACAGGAGCCTAGTCCTTTGCCCTTTGTCCCCAGTTTGGCTGACCTCCTGGAGGACCCACACACAAACACCCACCAGGCTCTTTGGCCCTGAGGACCGTCCCTCCTTCAAAATGCGCCAGCAGCTATTTGCAGCAGATTTGGCTTCTTGGCATTTACGGAGTATCTGTGAAACTTAGATGTTTTATTTATTTTCATATTCGTTGGCATCTTTTGGGCCAGCCTCGTCTCCACAGGCACTTTTACAAGAAGGTCATCCTCCCAAGCCGCCTGGGGCACCTCAACGCTCATGCCCCTCTGACGTCAACTTGGAGGTGAGTGGATGGTCTCAGTGAAAACTGCATGCCCTGCCCCTGTGTCCTCTCTCTGCAGCCCCAAACCACCCTGCTCGCCTTCACCTCCATGTCCAGGCCATGAGCATCCTTGAAGCAACTGCTGTAACTGTGATCCCTTTGCTTTTTGTGTCACAACATCTTTAGAATTCACATACCACACAACTCACCCATTTCAAGGGTACAGCTGTATGGTTTTTGATATATTCACAGTTATACAATCATTACCACTATCCAGGTTCCGAATATTTTCATATCCAAACTCCATACCCATTAGCAGTCACTCCCCATTTTTCCAAGAAACCAGTCTACTTTCTTTTTCTATATAGATTTGTTTATTCTGGACATTTCATAGAAATAAGATCATACAACATGGTCTTTGTGTCTGGCTTCTTTCACTTAGCATAATGTTTTCTAGATTCATCCGAGTTATAGCATGATGCATCAGTATTCCATTCCTTTTTATTGCTGAATAATATTCTACTGTGAGTGTACTACAGTTTGCTTCTCCTTTCATCCATTTATGGACTCTTGGGTTGGTTTCACCTTTTGGCTACTGTGAATAGAGCTGCTATAAGAAAGGACTGCTTACCACTATCTTCATAGTGCTTAAGCACCCCTGGGTTGAGGAATGGGGGATGGTAACTGATCTGCTAAAGGAGGAAATGGACTGAAATGACCTTAAATTTACCAGCCTCTTCATTAAGCTGTTGCCTGGAGGTTGCAAGTGGTCAACAGGTCAGGATGTCCATTTCACCAAGCTGCATGGAGCACCTGGTGAACCAGTTGGGCAAGGTGGTGAGGTGGGGAGTGAGGCTCAGTCAGAGCCAGCTGTGGAGGTGCAAACACGTCTTCAGGAGGTACAGGAGGGGCCCAGGAGTGAGTGATGGGGCGTGTGTGCTATAGTGGGCAGTCAGGGCCAGCCCTCCCATAGGTGTATCTCCTGCAGTGGCTCTGAATTTGATGTTGGAAGGAAGGGCACCCTAGCCCTAGAGTGGGGGCCCTTAGGAGTGAAGACAGGCCAGAGGGAGGTGGCAAAGCAGGTGGCTTTTCTGTCAGCCCCAACGGTGGCACTGAGGGCCTGCAGAGGAGGAAGGGGAGGGCGCTGAAACCAGGGGGACCGCAGGGGTTCCAAGGGAGCTGCCTACTGGGTGGGCGGTGGGACTGGGAAGACAGGAGAGAAACGACGCTGGGCAAGTTCCTAAGGGGCCTCCTTCCCATGATGGGCCCTTAGGCCCAGGGGAAGGGGACGATGGCTTCCTGAACGTCCCTTTACACCGCAGGAGCACGAGGACCTCCTTACTACCGTCCCGGCTTCTCCGCAGACCCGGCCTCACCATTAGGCTCAAAGACCAGGGAGGAGTCCAGGTGTGCGATGGCGCTGACGGGCGGGCTCCGGACCCACCTGGCCAGCGGGGAGACTCGGAAATCCGAAATGCAGTCGCACAGCTGGTACTGGGCCCCGTCCCTGGAGAGACCGGGTCTTGGGCGGGGAAGGCGGAGTTGGGTGTGGAAAGCCAATGAGACGGGGTCCCGCTTCGGGGTGTGTCCACGGGCTGAGAGGGGGTTTCAGGCGTAAGTGGGACCGCTCGGTGTGCAGGACCCGCCACGGGACACACACAGTTTCCTAACGCTCGTGGGGCGGGGCCTTCCTAGAAGCCCGCGGTGCTGCGAGGGCGGCAGGGCGGAGCCGAGCGTCCGGAGGAGGGCGACCGAGCCCAGGGCGGGGCTTCCCGTGGAGAGGGCGCGGGGTCAGGGGCCCCGCGGGGCTGCCGAGAAGCGGGTGCGGCCGGGCGCGGGCGGGGCCGGCGGGGCGGGGCGGGGCCGGCGGGGCGGGGCGGGGCGGGGCCGGCGGGGCGGCGGGTACTTAAGCAAGCCCCGCGCACGCGGACCCCAGCCATGGCTCTGAGGCGCGTCCTCTCCGCGGCGCGCTCCAGCACTCCCCGCCTTGCCGCGCTGTCCACGGCGCCCGAGGCCCGCCAGCAGCCCGCCGCGGGCGCGGGGGCCGTGCCCGGACGCAGGGCGGCCGGGGCTGTGCGGCCGCCAGTGCCGGCCGTGGACTTCAGCAATGCGCAGGAAGCGTACCGTAGCCGGCACAGCTGGGAGCTGGCGCGCAGCCTGCTGGTGCTGCGCCTCTGCGCCTCGCCCGCGCTGCTGGCGCACCACGAGCAGGTGCGAGGGTGGGCCGGTGGGCCGGTGGGCGGGTGGCGCAGCGCCCCCGGGTTCCTCTGCTTGCCGGGGAGGGGGTGTTCCCGGTATTCCTTTGCTTCCTGCATTTTGCTGCGTCTCAGTGCTACCAACTAGAAACAAAGAACACTTTAACTTTTAAGTTATATGCCGCTTGCAGTAATACAAAGTTGTGATCTGAAATTTAAAATTGAGTGTCCTCCTTGTTATGGTATTGAAGGGTTCATAGCCTAGGACCCCAGAGTTCTCAATGATCCAGGGGCTCCCCAGACACAGCCACTACGAACAGACTGTATTGAGGGAAAAATAGGAAGCTGCTCAAACATCAAACTGTTAACATTTTGACATGGTAACTTTGAAAAGTGTGAGGGCTTTTCGGAGGTAAGAAACAGAATACTGCCCTAGCCACCGTCACTCTGGGGCACAGAGATGCACTTATTTCAAGGTGATCCTGGGAACAGTTTGCAAGGCTTCAGTTGTTCCTGCCAAGGGTCTGGAAGGCTCTCCTTGCAGTTGGACTTGATTTCTCAGGTGAGACTGCAGAAGGGCCTTGTGCTGCCTCCCTGGGGCTCTGGGGGGAGGCTGGACCAAGGAGCACTGAGCCACACCTCAGGTTTAGGTGAAGTTCAGGCCACTGCAGGTGGGTGGTGAGGGCAGAGGTCGGAGTCAGGTGGCTCTGAAGGGTCTGTGAGGCCAGTGGAAGTGTTGGCTTGGATCCCTCTGGAAGATATTTGGATTTGGAGTCTAGGACTGATGGGGGTAGGAGGGATTTGGAGGAAAAGAGCTGAATTGGAAAAATGGAGGCCTCTGGGAAGCCATCCAGGTGTCTGTGGCAGCAGGGGATGTCCTGAGGTAAAGCAGTGGCCAGGGCCAACTGAGGGAGGAGGGCAAGAAGAGACACTCAAGGTGAGGGAAGCTGGTGGGAGGTGATGATGACCCTTTGGGGAGCACCCCCGTCTGAGGGGAAGCCAGAAGGGAGGTGCAGCATTTAGGAGGAAGGAGGCAACTGGGGGCAGGGGTGACTTAGGGAGGCAGGAAGTGTCTGTCTGTGGGTTCTCTGTGGAGGGAAATATGGGACCAGCTCCCACAGCCTGGGCATCACGGGGACTGCCAGGATGAGTGGTGCAGAAGCTGTGCCCCCTGTGTTGGATGGGAGGGAGGGGGAGAGGGCTTGGAACCAGCTAAGCCAAATTTTGTTCTGGCATAGCACTGCATTTTCTTCCCTGGGTTCAAAACCAGCAGTGAAGCCCGGCTGGTGTGGCTCAGTGGTTGAGCATCGACCCATGCACCAAGAGGTCATTGATTCGATTCCTGGTCAGGGCACATGCCCAGGTTGTGGGCCCAGTCCTAGTGGGGAGCATGCAGGAGGCAGCCAATCGGAGTTCTCTCTCATCCATGTTTTTTTCTCTCTCTCTAAAATCAATAAAGGAAATAAAAGAAACTACCTCTAAAAAAAACAAAACACCAGCAGTGAAGCCAGCGTAGCTGGAGGCCCTAGATAACCAAGGGAGGGATATGTCCTCTCTGCTCTCTGTGATGCCTGCTGGGGGTGAGTGCTGAAATGCAGGCACTGAACTATGGGTTCCTGGAAGAGGCTGGAGGCCCCTCCCAGGCTCCCGCAAATCCCGCCTGTGCCCTGGGGATGCCTTCAAGGAGCTAGGAGGTGCTCTGCATGCCCCACCATGGAATCTGCTCTACCTTTGTCATTGCTGGTGGTTCCACTGGTGATGGTGGCCTTGGTGCCTGGTGCTGGAGGTGGGGCAGAGGCCAGATAGACTGTACATAGTTGTGGGCCTGTCTTTCCCTGTCTTCTGCACAGCAGGAAAAATTCTTCCTGCTGAAAATCCTCCTGCTGAGCAATGCTGGTCTTTCCAATCCCTGCTGGGGCGTGGGAGGGTCATTAAATTTGCCCCCAGTTTGAACTGTTGCTTTCGCTCTGGACCCAGTGGGGGCCACACTGAGAATCGTTCAGAAAATCTAGGTCTTCCATGACAAAGGCTCCTTCCTGTGTTTGGATGTGAGCCAATGCAGAGAGGGTGATGGAAGGGACACTACAGATTGTGACGGTGGCCCTGCCAGAGGCAGGGAGAGAGAACCTGATAAAACTGTGCTCTGCACGCATCTGTGTTTTACAGTGAAAACTAGAGTATGCGTTACTGGTGCAGGGTTCTAAATCCATGAAGGATGCCCCACCTGAAGGAAAGGGGGGGATGCCCTCATTCAGGTCATGCTGCTCAGATGGTTGCAAAGTGGCCGCTTGTCCTGGAGTTGGCATTCAAACTGTCAGCTCTGCCTTGTGTGCTTCCACTGCCCTGTGACAGGCCGGCCTCCCCTTCGCCAGGGTGAGAGGGTGACTGACTGGCTCCATGACCTGGGTGGCCATGCCCTCTGAGCCCCACCTGCCCTTGGAGCAGAGAAGATCAGCGCAAAGCGCAGTGCAGGGCGTGTGGGCGACCAGCCCAGGATCCCCAATCCCAGCCTTCCTGCCTTTGTCACTAAAGCGTCAGTCTTGCTCTTGCTCCTTCACTTAGCGGTGGCTGTGGCTGCTTGTGCTCTACGCTGGCAGAGGTGAGTAGTTGTGACAGAGGCAGTTTGGCCCACGAAGCCTAAATAAATTATTTACCATGTGGCCCTGGACGGTCAAGTTTGCTGGCCTGAGAGGAGACACTTCCACACGTGGTGGGCCGAAGCTGATGTGGACACTGTCAGGGGTTCCTTTCCCAAGCCGAGTGACAGTTATCCCACCTGCCTGCCACCGGATGGCCTCTGATATGTTTAAGGCCAGCCTCCCCTCCTGTGAGGCTGCTCTGGCCCAGGTTCAGTGTTAGGCTGGGGCAGAGGGAAGCTTGCCCTGCCTTCCCTTGTTGGTACTTTCATTTTCCATTTCTAATCCTCTTTAGAAAAACAACGTGATACAATAAAGTTAGACACAGGCTGCAGTGAGATAGAGGGCCTGTCTGCCTTCCGGCCGGTGGGGGCTGCTTGAGACTGGTCAGGGGTGAAGGTGTTTGACTTGCTCATGCTTTTGCTTAGAGTAGAGATCGTTCCTCGAAACCCTGATCCCAAGAGATGTTCCCCCACAATAAAGGGGACTCTTATTCACTGGGTTTGAGAAACCTCAGGCTTTTCCTGTCTTGCAGCTGGGATGGGGCATTGGACACAGGAATTCCCAGACGGCTGGCGGGTGTGCCCTCCCAGTAGCCATCCCTCGAAGCCTTAGGGGCTTTGGGTGTCCCCATTTCTCCTGCTCTGGCTGTCTCCATTGCAACATCTCTGTGTCACCCCCTCATCTAGGCAAGCCCCCTCTCTGAATCTGTTAGCAAACACCACCCTCCCTATTTTAAATCACCACCTGGAGTTACCTTGTTCCTCCCTCCTTCGGAGTCTCTCCCCTTGAGAATGTGAGCTCCTCTGTTCTGTGCAGCCGAGGACTGCTGGGCATGAAGCAGCTGCTCAGGACATGTGAATGAATGATGGCAAAATTCGGGATGTGACTGGAAGAGAAAGCTAGGTGGTTTATGGGCAGCTGTCTGTCTTAGGGACATGTCAGTCCAAGCTGCTGGTCTACTGTGGCCCTGGGTAGCTGCTGAGACCCCACTGGCCCCAGGCTGGGCTGTCATCTCACAGAGCTCTGTAGATGGTCACCTGGCTTATTGTCAGCCTACACCTCCAACAGAACTCAGATTCATTCTGAATTTTGCACATACTCATTTGTTCAACCCTGGAAGAGCCAGACCCTTGCCAGGCACTGTGCTAGGAACTTGGACCAAGCAGCAAACAAACTATCGAAAAATCTTGCTTGCTAAAAAGTTGCACCAAATCTTCCTCTTCCCCAACGTCTTTCTGAGGTCTGGATCTAGGGAGTATATGAACACGCCCATTGCTCTTCCCAGAGAGGCCTGCCATTGGCTTCCTTATCCACCAAGTGATGGTCAGACACCTGCTGGGTGCCGCTGGGATCATCTGTGAGTGTGCAGGGCAGGGAGGAAGAGTGACCACAGGGGTGGCACTTAGTACCCCCCAGCATGAGAAGTGGTGATTGACCGTTGCTGTAAGCAGACTAGCAAGTCGCTTCGGGTGGTCTCCAATATAAAACCGAGGCCCCGGGGAGAGCATGTCAAGGCTTTGTAGTTGGACTGAAGCGGTCAGGGAGGCAGGGTGTCCTGCTGGGGCAGGGGTTGCTGGCGGCCCAGAACAGCTTCTTCCCTTTGCCTTTCAGCTACTCCATTTCGCCAGCAGACTTCTGGGACAAAGACTGTTCGAAAAGCTAATGAAGATGACCTTTTATGGGCAGTTTGTGGCTGGCGAGGACCAGGAGTCCATTCAACCCATGATCCGGCGTAACAGGGCCTTTGGCGTGGGCTCCATCCTGGACTACGGTGTGGAGGAGGACCTGAGCACAGAGGAGGCGGAGCGCCAAGAGATGGAGTAAGGCCTGCCTGACATCTTGGTGGTATCCCCAAAGCACCCAGGACAGCCAGGGGCTGGACTGAGGCCTGGGCTGGGAGGAGGCCAGGGCTAGGAGAGCTTGGTCAGCCTCATTACCTGAAGCCCTCCTGGGTTCAGCCTGCAGTTCTTGCGTTTTTGCCTCGTGAGGATTACAGGCCTGGGCTTTCATAGGAGGCTGGAGGAGCAGCGAGCATAGGGGTCAGCACACTATGACCCACAGTCAATCCCACCTACCGCCTAGTTTTGTATGGTCTGCAAGCTGAGAATGGTTTTTGCATTTTTAAATGGTTGAAACAAATCAAAGCAAGAATAATATTTTATGACATGTGAAAATTACATGAAATTCAAATCGCTTTCGCCGTACAGGGGCAGAGTTGAGTAGCTGTGGCAAACACGCTGAATGGCTCTCAAGGCTGAGAATAGGGCTACCCAGCCGGTTGCAAGAGATTTGCCTTCCCTGGTGCGGAGGCTTTCTGCTCTGCTAAAGCATCTCCTCTGGGAGGATGCCTGGCCTGCGGCGTGGGACCCACTGCCCCACCCTTTCCTGGCCCCTGAGATGGTTCTCTGATATGCAGGTGGGCGCTGCCTGCTAGGTTTGGAGCCTGTCCGGGCATCAGTGAAGGGAATGTGCAGTCAGGATGGTGGCAAGCCAGCCTGGGTTCCCCCTGCGGTCACCAACTTGCTGCAGGGCTTGTTGTCTGGGCAGTGAGTGTGGCGACAGAGGGGCACTTCCCTTATTCAGCCTGCTGAGTCAGAATTAGAGTAGTGTCCTTACAGGAGGCACAGTCGAGACCAGCCCTTTCTTTGCAAAATGTGCGGTTTCCGTCCTGATGCCAGGACCCCTCCAGGCCACGCCCTCACATCTGGAATCCCAAGTGCTGACAGCAGTTGTGCCCGACTGACCTGAGCTTGGGCCAGACCTGCTGAGTAACCTGCCCTCTGGGGCTGTGGTGTTTGCTCTGGCCCAGGGAGGAAAGGGAGGGGGAGTCACATGAGGCTCCTGCCCCGAGAACAGAATGTCCAAGCCTCTTGTTGGCCAATTGGCCTGGGGAGCCCAGCCCCTGCCTAGTGATTTGCTGTCTTAAAGGCAGGGTTTCCAGCTGAGCACCCACTTTGTTCCCAGTGGGGGCTGTGGCTGTCTGTTGACTAAGTAACGGGCTGTGTCCAGCAATGTCAGGGTGAGAGCTGGGTGGTTCACAACGGGATTTTCTCTCTGGTCTGAAAAGACTCCTTTCCCAGGGCAGCCTGCCTGGCTTCCTCCCTGCCCTGCTGAGGAGCCTTGGAGCCTGTGCCCTTGGACTGCCCTGCTGTTAGCACCCCCACCCCTTGTCCTGCAGGAGCACCACTTGGTGGGCTCTGGGACATGAGCGGTGATCCCTCCCATCCTGACAGGGTGACTGTCATCAGTGCCAGTGGCATCAGTGCCAGGGTCAAGGACTCATGCCCAGCTCTCCTGCCAGAGGCCCCGTGCCCTCGGAGGGGCCTGGCTGAGGTGTGGAATGGGCTTGCAGGTGCTGGTCTGCACCGTCAAGTTGCCTGCCTGGTTTGCTGGGTGGTCCTGGCTAGGAGAGGCTCTAAACATGCCCGTGGACCCTGCTCTTGGTAGTGATGTGGAGGCCACTGCCCCAGGCAGGGGATCCTTGGGTCTGCCTTGGGCACAACTGGAAAAGGCACAGAAAATAAGGAGGCATCTGAAGGCACAAGAGACCCAGTAGGTCTCCTGAAGGTGTGATGAGGGGACACAGGAAGGCTTCTCAGGGTAGGAAACAGGAGGTGGGAGACTGTAGCCATCTATGGAGGGCACGGGTGGTGTTTCCCTGAGCACTTGTAAGAAGGCAGAGGCCAGGACCCCAACTAGGAGAGGACCCCCACAGGGCCCCGACTCTTGGAGAGGACCCCCAGCAGGCCAGAAGCCATGGAGATGGGGAAAGGGGATAGGGGTATTCCTGATGATCGGATGTGATTAGGACCCAGGGACAGTGTGGATGGCAGGTGTGTCTGTCTTGTTTGTGCAGACTCGGGGCTGGCTGGAGGCTCTCTGGGCTTTGGTCCCCAGAGTGGTGGAAGCTCCCTGGGATAAGCGTGCAGAGTGTCCAGGTGCTGCCTGGACCCAGGGCCTGGGGAGCCCAGGATGGGGCGTGCAGGCAGGAACGCCCCTTTAGACTGGGCCCAGCTTTTCTCCCACCTGCTGCTGCCTGGCCTGCATTTCACCATTGCGATCTGGAGTGAGGGGGGCTGGCGTGGTTTCTCCTCACTGTCTGCTTTTCTCTAAAAGGCACCCAGCCAACCAATCACGCAAAGCGGCTGCTGAGAGCTGAGCTTGGAGGTGGCTGAGAGGGTGGTTGGGTCCTCCTGTCCCCTTTGCAGACCCCTAGGGCACTGGTGTTCTGTCCCCAGGTGTACTTTGTTCTCTCTTCCAGGTCCTGGGCCGTGCACATGTGTGTGCATACTAGGTGCTCTCTTCCTTTGCCCTTTGGTGATGTGACCTACATTGCATGTGGGGACCGCTGTCTTTGTCTCCTTTTGACCCACCCACCTGACCACGTGACTGTGCAACCCACCCGACTCCTCCACTCAGCCCATTGCTTCTCCTCTGGTCTGTGCCCAGGAGGTTCACGATGGAAATAGCCATGGTCTCCAGTGGCTTTCCTGCTGCTGAGCATGCTGGGAGCGAGAAAGGGGGAGTCCTTGAGCCTAGCTCTATCTGTCAGTGGGAACCTGATGGCCCCAGGCCCTTGGGGACCTTTTAGATAATGGTTCCCCATTAGACGGAAAGCCGTTGCCTAGAAGGTAGATAACTGTGTGGTTAGTGCTCACCTTCTCTGAGCCATGGACCCTGTGGTCACAGAGCAGGCACGAGTCCCACCAGCTGCCGTTTTTGCTCACCAGACCCTTCCCTTAGTGCACACAGTGGGTTCCCATGTCGTGCGTCCCCTTTAATGGGTGGTTTTTGCTAGTTGTACCTGGGCCACAGCTTGGAGGGCCTGGGCTGGTCTTGTAGGTGCCCTTGACCAGGGACCTCCGGTTGGGGGTGGGGGTGGGAGCTCCTTGTTCCCGCAGGGATGTCGTGTTTGGGGCCAGCATCGTCTCATACCTCACCCTCTTCTCTTCTGTTACATCAAGCACTTGCTTCTGGTTGGCTTGAGGAGGCTGGAGCAGTGACTGGCGGTGTAACTCCCATTCTTGTCCCCAGGCTGTGGCCTTGTGGGCTGCCCCACTGCGCGGGGAGCCCTGACCTTTCTGGGTCCTGACTTAGGCACTGTGTCCCAAGGTCCCAGATTCAGGCCCTGGGGCTATGGAGAAGCCAGGCCTGGAGGGACAGCTCCCTGGAGGGTAGCAGGGCAGCTCAGGACTTGCTCTAGGGGCAGTGAGTAAAAGTTGCCACAGCCTCTTGACACGTGTGAGGCCACTGCAGGTGCAGGTGTAAGAACGAGGTGGAGCCCTGGCTGATTTGGCTCAGCAGTTAGAGCGTCGACCTGTGGTCCAGAGAGACCCGGGTTCGGTTCCTGCTAAGGGCACGTACCTTGGTTGCAGTTTGTCCCCAGCCCTGGTTGGGCCGGGTGGGTGGCAGCCACTCGATGTGTCCCTTTCACGATGTTTCTCTCCCTCTCTCTCTCTCTCTCTCTCTCTCTCTCTTCCTCTCTCTCTCTCCCACTCTATCTGACCAAAGAATGGAAACAATGTCCTCACATGGGGATTAAAAAAAAAAAAAAGAACACGAGGCGGAATGAGGTGGTGCAGGGTCTCCAGAAGTGCAGGTTTATTGGGAATCAGCCTGCTGGACTGTCTCTAAGGAGAGAGTAGCAACCGGCTTGTACAGGCTTGTACAGACGAGGGATTTTTAAACTCAGGGCTAGGGGGAGGGTCCTTCAGCCGAGGAGACGTGGTCGTCTTTGATTGGTCAGGCCTGGGGTCTCCCGAGTTCTTGATTGTCAGGGGCTGGGGTCTCCTGAAACTTGTTTTTCTTGTTTGCAGTTTTGGGTGGGTTAGGATGGTTCCATCATTCCCTTCCTCCTGGCTGGAGTGATGGGTTTTAGTTTTCTGGAATGAGAGGCTTAGGGAAAGGTTAAACCATAAGAGTGATGGGTTTTGGTTTCTGGGAATGAGAGGTTTAGGGCAGTAATGTGGAAGTTAAGAGCTAACAGCAGGTACCTGTCAGCAGCTTCTCGGGCTTTGCTTGGCCTAGTGTGCCCCTGGGGAAGAATCACTGCCCTCTCCCTGTGGGCTGTGGGCAGACCCCACAGGTCTGAGGACTTGGGAGGTCACGGGGTGGCTGCAGGGCTGCGGCCGAGCCCTCTCTGTGGTCACTGACTGAGGAGGCTTTTCGTACATTCAGACGGTAGGTAGAGCGGCAGGGGTGCGCGGTGGGCAGCAGTGATGGGCGTTCCCTTCATCTGCAGTCTCCAGTCCATGGCCACGGTGAGGAGGAGGGCTGCTGCGAGGAGGGCTGCTCGAGGCTGGCAGGGGTGGGCAGCCAGGGCTGAGGGCTGGCCTCCCATCCACCCGGCCTTCTGACGCCTGGAGGTGTTATTCGGCCATGGGAGGGCTTTCATTTTCAAAGAAAGATTTTGGTTGCTGATTAGAAAATAAGCCTAAGGGCTAAGAATGGAGCAGGGTGCTGGGGTGGGTGGAGGTGAGGCTGGCTGTGTGGGGGGGCAGGAGGTGCCTGGAGGTGGGGGGTGGAGGGTAAAGCAAGGGGGCTTCACTCACTGATTTGGGGGATTTTGTGTGCTGGTGGTTGTCTGTGTCTCATCAGCCCTGACTGGCCCATAGCTAGGCATTCCTTCGGGACTTACTCCATGCTCTGGGCTCCAGAGAACCCTCCACCTGTCCAGTAGTTTTACTTCTCCTCCATGCTGTGGAGGGGCTCCACCCAGGGGGAGCCTGAGGCTTCTCCAGGCTGCAGGGCTGGTAGGCATGTTGGGGTGGAGGCTGCTGCCCCTCCCAGCCCCCAGGAGGTAACTCCCAGGCCTGGGTGGGTGGGGCGGGTGAGTCACTCTTACCTGCCCGGCTAACCCAGCCTTCCTCACACAGCTTTTCGTGGTCATGTTCAGGGCTCAGCCCCTGTTTTCTCTCACCCTGCTGGGGACGTGCTTGTCAGCTGTGCCCGAGGTGGTGTGACCCTGACCCTTGCCCTCTTCCTTCCCTCAGGTCCTGCACCTCAGTGGCAGAGAGGGAGGGCGGAGGTAAGAGGCAGCTGTGCACCAACTAATGCTCTCACCTCCACCCTCCTGTCCCCCCACCCCACCATGGCCTGGGATCTAGACTGGGGGCACAGCCAGCCCAGGGCACAAAGGGCTGTGCTGGGTCCTGAGCCATGTCCACGGGCACCCGGGCCACTGCTCTGAATGTGCTGACACATCCTCACAGCCCTCCGTTGGTCGGGGTTCTGCCTCCCTGGCCCAGGTCTGCCATGTGACCAGGCTCTTCCAGGGAGGAGAGCGGGGACAGGGGCTGGTGACTGGGCGCTGGCGAGCGGCCGTCAGCACAGTGCAGGGGGGCGCAGGGCGTCGTGTGCTGGGGGTGAGGGTGGAGCGGGTACAGAGCCAGGTGAGTGCTCAGGTCGTTTGCAGGCCCCAGTAAGAGGGAGAAGCAGTACCAGGCCCACCAGGCCTTTGGAGACCGCAGGGATGGCGTCGTCAGTGCCCGCACCTACTTCTACACCAACGAAGCCAAGTGTGACGGCCACATGGAGACGTTCCTGCGCTGCATTGAGGCTTCAGGTGGGGCCTCGCTCTTTGCTGCCTGTCCACCTGCCAGGCCCAGCCTGGGCCGACCTGTGGCATGTGGACACGTGGGTGGGTGGGAGGCCAGCACTGGAGCACTCAGTCTGTCTGTCTGGGCAGCCCTGACGGTTGTGAGGATAACCTGGAGGGACATGTGGGAGCCACAGACTAGGCTTAAGTCATGCGGGGGTCATCCTGCATCTAGCACCTCCACAAAATTCATGGCTGCCCCCAGAAAGGTGCCTCCCTCCCCTTTCCTGGGAACCAGGTGCCCAGTGTGGACCTTTGGGAAGGCCCTCAGTTGGCCAGCGGCCCCAGTTATGGCAGGGGCAAGACTCTGGTCACAGGTGGCACGTGGGCTTGCCGAGGGCTGCGGCGTTCAGGGAGCAGGTGCAGATCCTCGTTAGTGAGAATTCCTCCCCACACAGCCTGGAGACGGGAGCACCTGCCCAGGGAGGCCAGTTAAGTTGGGAGGTCACTGAGGCCTTCATGTCCTGTAGTCTGTAGAAACGTCACAGATCACAGTGCCACCCCACTGTGCACCCTCAGCATCCCCCAGGACAGGACAGCGGGCTCCGCACCTTTGGAACACTCTCAGAAACGGGAGTGAGCGATGGTCAGAAGCAGTCTGCTAAGAGTGGCACTGGGGAGGCCCTGGCCAGTCAGGCAGACACTTGGCCGTGCCGTGCCCAGCGTCAGTGGCATCTGTTTGCCTCCCTGGCCACTCTGCCTGGGAGCAAATAGACAGGAGGCTCCCTCCCTCGGAAGCAAAGTGCGCTCCGGAAGCCAGAAGCCAGACAGAAGTGTGGTGGTTGAGCACCTTCCACGCTCCAGTCTGCTTTCTGCTCTGCATTTCTGTGTTCTGTGAGCCCCCCTTGCGCAGGCTGCGTGCTGAGGGCAGGGGAGAGGAAACAGGCAGGGATGGGGGTGATCATCAGGGTCATGTAGGAATGGGCAGGCCTCCCCACTACCTTCCTGACCCACGTGGCAAACGCAAACGTCACTGTTCCTACCTCCAGGGCGGGGCGTTTGGAGTAGCTGTGCGCACCGCACCGTGGTTATGGGTGAGCACAGGCTCCTGGTCCATCCCCCGGCTCTGGAGCCTTAAGGGCTCTTCCTGTGACTTCCCACAGCTGGAGCCAGCGATGATGGCTTCTCGGCCATTAAGCTCACGGCCCTGGGGAGACCCCAGTTTCTGGTAAGTGCTGGGACCTGCCGCGTGCAGAGATGGCAGGAACTGGGGCTGCCATGAGCGTTAAGTGAAAGCTCCCGTGCCGGTACCTTGGAGCTGGGAGCAAGTACACAGGTGGGACGGGAGGGGCCCAGGGCCTGTGTGGGGCCCGGGGGCAGGGAGCTGGGCGTGCACCTGAGAGGCAGCTCAGGCCTGCATTTGCAGCTGCAGCTCTCGGACGTGCTGATCAAGTGGAGACGGTTCTTTCACCAAATCGCTGCAGAGCAAGGGAAGGCCGGGCTGGCTGCCCTGGACACAAAGCTGGAGGTGGTGGCGCTGCAGGTGGGCAGCCCTTCCCTAGTGGTGTGAGTGGGTGCACAGCGTGGGCTGGGGAGGCGCCCTGCCCAGGAGGAACTGGCCAGGCGGTATCTGAGGTGGGTTCCCGCAGCTGCTCCAGGGCTTGCAGCCCGCCCCGAAGCTGCCAGGGTTTGTCTGGGAAGGAATCTGACCAGAGGCTGAGGACACACTGGACAGGAGGTGGACGCGCTGGCCTTGCCGGTCGCTCTGCGGAGCTGCAGGGACAGGAAAGGGGCATCAGGAACTGGTGGGGATGGACCCATTTATGGAGCAGAAACACAGCCCGAACGGTTTCCTGTTCTTGCTAACAGTGTAGTCAAGTCAAAACAGATCACAAACCAGTAGGCGGGAAACACTAACTGTTAGTGAGAGGGGCTGGGGATGCCAGGGCATGGACACCTTCTCACTTCTCAAGGAGAGCATGGCGAAGATGGGCATTGCCTCCAGGAAGGAGATGGAGGACTGGTTCACCGCAGAGACCCTGGGCGTGTCCAGGTAAGAGCAGCACCGGGCTGAGAAATGGGAGTGTTCCCCCCCCCCCCCCCTTTCAGCCATGGTTCCAGCAGCCTCTCCCTGTCCCGGTTACCCTCCTCGAGTCTGTGGGCCTTATGGTGATGGTGCCAAAGAAACTGCTCCTCTGAGATGCACAGAATGGGAGTTGATGGAACTGGGAGTCCACAGATGAGGGCTGGCAGCTTGGGCACAGAGCTAGGTGACTGCAGCTGATCAGATGGAGGGTCAGGGCAGCTGAGGCCCAGAGAACCGCAGGCTTCATCCTCGAGTGCTGGGGGCTGGGCCTGAGGTCACCAGGGCGCCTGCACTGCAACAGGGTACTTTCTCCTCGAACGCTGTCTGCTTCTGCCCGCTCTCCATGTTTGCCTCTTCCCCAAGCCCGCCGTTGCCAGTGGTGTTCTTGGTGCACGCCCCAAGTTTTCATAGATGCTGCCACCCTGATGCAGAACACGTTCATGTTTTGGTTTTCATTTTTTTATTTTAGTCTCCACCTGAGGATATTTTTTTCATTGATTTTAGAGAGAGAGGAAGAGAGAGAAACATACATCGATCACTTGCCTCCCGTACGCACCCCGAATGGGGATCGAACCCACAACCTGGGTATGTGCCCTGACTGGGAATTGAATCCATGACCCTTTGGTGCATGGGACAATGCTCCAGCCAAATGAGCCACACCGGCCAGGGTTGGTTTTCATCTTTTTAAACAGAACGACATATACATTTTATCTGTCTTTTGAAACTGAATACCGAGGCAGGTTCTGTGGGGATTGGGTCTGGGGGTGCTCTTTTAGGGAATAGGCTGGCTTGGCCTCTAGGCACCCCCAGCACCCATAGGTAAAGTCACCTGGCTGGATGGAGAAGCTACCGCCGCCACTCCATTGACCCACCTTCTCCCGCAGCACCCTGGACCTGCTGGACTGGAACAGCCTCATTGACAGCAGGACCGAGCTCTCCAAGCACCTGGTGGTCCCCAACATGCAGGTGACGCCACCCCCTCACCAATGAGCCCTGCCTCCGAGGATGTCAGGCCAGGAAGGGCAATGTTCCCTGTTGCCTACTCGGGTCCAAGACTACTGTCCTCCTCAGCCCCATGAGACCCCATGGTCTAGGGGGAAGAAGACACCTACTAGTGTCCCCCAGAGTGGGACAGAGACCCACAGGAGAAGAGGGGGGAACCTTCCCATGTCATCTGTCCTTGCACATTGGGTCACCCCAAACCTCGCTGGTCTGAAAGGGCAACACATAGGATTCCCCGCCACAGTTCTAGGCCGTTCCCTCAGGGTTCTCTCGCAGTTGTACTCAGAGGGTGGCAGGGGCTGGGGTCATTGTGGAGGGTCCCGACTCAGCCAGGGCTTCCTCCTCGTGTGGCGGCTGGGTCCCTGCACGAGTGTCCCCAGGAGTAAGGCGGAAGCTCTGTCCCTTTTCTAGCCTAGCCTCAGAAATCCCACAGCTCACCTCCGCCTGATCCCTTGGGTAAATGTAAGTCAGTAGGCTGGCCGCGTTCAGGGGGAGGGATGAGATTCCACCTGCTCACGGGAGGGTGTCCAGGAATGTGTGGCCATGTTTGAAACCACCTCTTAAGCTGGGATGTGAAGCAGCAGCAGAAGCACCTGGAGGATAAACCTGGCAAGCATGTCTTCCACAAACCCCCAGCCTGGGTCCCCCTGCGGGCCCCCTCCCCTCGGAGCCCCCGGACAGGGTTAGCGGGCAAGTGGGGTGAGCAGAGGGCCCCAGAGCCGCACAGGCCTGCAGCATGTGTCCACTGACTCCAAGCACCAGCCCACTGGAGGCCACGGTCTGGGGACGGTGCCCCTGTCCAATCAGTGTGCTGCACGGCTGTCCCCGTCTTCCTGTAGCCGCAGTTATTTCTTTGAGCCCGCTCCCTGCTTGGGGCTGAGCCTTTCCAGGTGATGGGATAGTCAAGGATAGCATCCTTAGCTTTGTGTGGGAGCAGAAGGGGGGACCCTCTGAGGGTACTGGGGAGGTTGTGGGAGCAGATACCTCGGGTGCAGGCCTGACCGGAGACCTCTGGCTCTGTGAGTAGGAGCATGCCGGCTGGCTGGCTCTGAGGTTCCGCCTCCAAGTGGCCTTGTCCCTGTGTCACCAGTGGCCTCAGGGCAGGGTGCTCGTCTTCATGCACAAACAGGGTGGAGGAGATGCCAGGATGGGGGGTCTCGCTGGTCCTGGGGAGGGGCACACCGGCTTTGCGAGGCGTGGTCCAGGCCCCGCCGTGGCCTGATGCATGCTGCGCCCTCAGACAGGACAGCTGGAGCCTCTGCTGTCAGGGTTCACTGAGGAGGAGCAGCAGCAGATGGCGAGGATGCTGCAGAGAATGGATGTCCTGGCCAAGGTCGAGGGCCTGGGATGCACCTGGGGGCTGGGGGGCTCCTGTCTCACCTGAGCCCCAGACAAACCCTCTCTCCCACCCCTGACCTCAAAGAAAGCCGCCAAGGTGGGGGTGCGGCTGATGGTGGATGCTGAGCAGACCTACTTCCAGCCGGCCATCAGCCGCCTGACGCTGGAGATGCAGCGCAAGTTCAACGTGGACAAGCCACTCATCTTCAACACGTACCAGTGCTACCTCAAGGTATGTGCCAGCCGCGTCCTCCCCACCCTTCAGGTGATGGCACGTCCCCGCTCCTCCCAGCCATCGTGGAGGGAGGCCCCTGCCCAGCGTGAGGCCAGTGTGACAGTTCCTGGTGGGGAAGGGCTGGCCCCTCCTCGGGGACCCAGGTCCCAGACAAGGGTGTTGGAGGGGCAGGAGGAAGATGGAGGAGCTTGTTTAGGGTCCGCTTAATGTCCTTTAACCCCCAGATTTCAAAGCCTTCGTGAGTGAGCATTTCCTCTGAGAATCGGATGAAAGCTCTGGGCCCTCCTCCCGGAAAAGACTTGGCTCGAGCTTTGCATGTTCCTCAGTAACGCTGCGGGGTGGATCCCTGAGCACAGACCTAGAGTGGGCTGCTTGGGGACCAGTGAGGTGCTTAGAGACCATGGGGTCAGGTGGGCATTGAGGCTGTGGAGGTGGGGGAGTACCCAGGAAGGTGCCATCCCCAGGTCAGCCTGCGGAGACTGGCAGGTACCGAGGCTGCTGGCACCTGGCCTGTCCCCTCAAAGGAATGTCCCCAGGCCAAACAGAAGAGGCTGCAGGTGGCCCCACTGTCACCATTCCTTGGGGACAGAGATCAAAGGGCCTTCCTCACCCACACCTGTCTCCCAGGGCACAGGGCACCTCCCTCAGCCAGCTGCTGCTGCCCTGGTGCCCCTTGCTGACCACGCCCTGGATGTTCCTGGGCCCAGGAAGGCAATGGGGTGCTAGCTGATGGGGGCTGACCTCGTTCTTCTTTTGGCCCTTACCCTGCAGGATGCCTATGACAATGTCACCCTGGACGTGGAGCTGGCTCGCCGTGAGGGCTGGTGTTTTGGAGCCAAGCTGGTGCGGGGTGCATACATGGCCCAGGAGCGGGCCCGCGCGGTGGAGATTGGCTATGAGGACCCCATCAACCCCACGTATGAGGCCACCAACACCATGTACCACAGGTGCGCCAGTCCCTCTTGGGTCCCAGAGCCTCAGGGCTACCCGGGGAAGGGAGTGAGAACATGGTGAGGGGAATGGACCTCCTTGGTGCCGGAGCTGCCTGATGGACCCCATTTAAAGAGGGAGTAGCCCTGGAGGTCAGAAGCTTCCGGTAGGAGCAAGACTTTTGCCCTGAGGCCAGAACTCATTATTTTGTTCTTGATTTACTTTTTCAAAAACATTAAGGTGCCTTTTTGAATATAGAGAAGTCTACTGAACAAAAACTAGGCGGGCCTGGTGCCCTGGCAGCTCCGGCCGGTTGCCCACGTAGCCTTCCCCACGTTGCACTCACCTCGTTTCCGGGGACCATCGTTGTTCACTGTCTCTTCCGCTGCAGTGCGGACGGGCTGACCTCATGCTTTTTCTCTCTGAGGTCGTGTGGGTATGTTGCAAATTCAGAGAGCCCAGGTGTCTCCCCTCCCTGACTTGCGTTTCAGCCCTGGCACCCTGGCAGCGGCCGGCTTCCTTCCAGGAGCTGCCGTGCGCGGCTGTGGGTGCGGACTTCGTGGTGGCTGGCGCTGTGCGCGGTCTCCTGCCCTTGCTTTCCGGGTAAAGCTGTATCTGGATCCCCCAGGTCAGCGTCAGTGCAGGGTGCCTGTGCTTCTGCGCATCCCTGCGAGCTTTAAGGTGGTTTGGCATCCTGCTGTTACAAGGGTGATCCAGGGCACACCCCATCCCTGTCTTTTGTACCCATGGGTGAGGACACAGCTGTTGCTGGAAATGGAGTTGCTGGCTCAGAGAACACGCACCTGCCTAGTTGCTTTCACTGCCAGATGGTGGGTGTTCAGGGCTCCCCCAGCACCCCAGCACCGGGGGCCCCTCCCCTCCCCTTTAGCTTCCCAAAGACCCTTCCTGAAGCAAGCTGCATCTGCCCTGGGCACACAGGGCTCTGGGCCCCCGCTGGCTCCCTGTGAGTGCTGACTGCAGCCCTGCTGACTTTTTCTTTCTCACTCACAAGGTGCTGAGGAGGGACAAGTGCTTGCCGTGGTCCTGTCACCATGGGCGCCTTTGGGTGGAAGGGGCTCGCCGGATGGCCCTGGGGCTGCCTGTGGCCTTTGCCCCTGTGGGGGAACTCTCTGGGCCCAAGGTTATGTGCCACTCCCCCAGGTGCCTCAGCTATGTCCTGGAGGAGCTGAAGAACAACGCCAGGGCTGAAGTGATGGTGGCCTCCCACAATGAGGACACAGTGCGCTTCACGCTGCGCAGGTAGGTGCACCCCCACAGCTGTCCAGGTGTTTGTGGGTCAGGGAGGGCATGGGTGAGCACCCCAGCAGCCAGGCTTGGGGGGCATTTTGAGGGGAACATCTGTGGGACAAGCTGGAGAGGTGGCTTCAGTGCTTCAGGCCCCTGCCCTGCCAGGTCCCACTGGGCATCGGCACTACTGTAGCAAAAGGCTATTGGCAGCTAATCTGAGGCTATATGCAGTTAATTTGGTTTTAAAAATTAATAACTGACTTACTGGTTTCAAATTAGAAAAATAAATCTCATTAGATGACTTAAATAGCTTATTAAAATGCACAAATACAGTGTGAAATGTTGGAACGCCGCGGGAGGTCTCCGATGCATGGGTCTGTTTTTATTTCATGTCTTAACCTGAAAGTGCAACACCAGGGGGCCAAGTTCCTGCCACTCCCATATCTGCCGTCCTGGGGCTCAGGCCCTGCGCTGGTCTTGCTGGCCTTCAAGTGTCCCAGGAGTAAAGCAGGGGCCCCCATGCCAGCCACCGCAGAAACACCCCAAGCCCAAGGCTTGCTGCTGAGTGGGGCTTCCTCAGGGAGCAGCAAAGTCACAGGCGGGGTGAGGGTGCTGCCTGGCTGGGCGCTGCCTGGAGAGCTGACTCAGTAACATCACCGCTTATCCTTTGTTCACGATGGGGCTGCTTTTTCAGTCTGAAACTGCAACTGAAAACCACACCTTCTAATGTGCAACAGTTGCAGCCATCAGGGTTGGGGACATGAGCCAAAGCTCCTTCCTGAGCATAGTGGCAGGGTTGAGGGTCTGTTTCCATGGTGGGGGCGGGGCAGAGCAGAGTCCCAGCTCTCCGCTTCCCTCCATCCCTAGAGACTTCTCAGGCCCTTAGCTCCCGTCTTGGATGCCCCATGCTTGGCACTGGATGTAGGAGGCCACCTTTTGTGCTCAGCAAAGATTAGTTCTGGCTTCGACTTTTTTCTATTTTTTATTTCTTTATCCACACCCAAGGACATTTTCCCATTTTTTGTTCAGATAGAGTGTGTGTGTGTGTGTGGGGGGGGGGAGGTTAGAGAAAGAGAGAAACATCGATGTGAAAGAGACACATCGAGTGGCTACTACCCGCACGACCCAACCAGGGCCGGGGACAAACTGCAACCGAGGTACATGCCCTTAGCAGAAATGGAACCAAGGTCTCTATGGACCGCAGGCCGACGCTCTAACCGCTGAGCCAAACCAGTCAAGGCCTGGCTTCGACTTTTAAAATGAACACAGGATTGAGTTGCAGATTTTAAAATGCAGCTTTCCCTTAGGCTTAAAAGTATTCTGTGATAGAACCCTGATCAAGGCTTGGTCCCTCCGGCGCTAGGGCGGCTCTAGATGTCTGCGCAGAGCCTCCTGTGCCCCTGGCCCAGCACGTGGGAACCTGACCCCTGCACAGTGGCACGCCCTGTGGGGGCCAGCTGTGTGGAAGGTGCCGCCGTCTCAGGTTTCAGTTTTGAACTCAGCAGCCTTTGTTGGTCACTCACACTTAGGGAGGGGATCATAGGCCAGTCCACTCAGACTACACAGAGAACCAGGAGACCTCTGAGGGCTTCCTTTCTTTTGAATCTTCCCACTGAGAACACATCTGTCCTCACCATTTTGGTCACAGCAGCCGAGGACCAGTTGAGAGTCCCCTCCTTCCTCAGAGCCTCCAGGGCCCATGCCAGGCTCCACAAATACGGCCCAGCGCCTGCAGGCCAGTTCTGTGCTCTGCTGTGGGGCCAGGGAGCCTTGAGCGTGCGGGCTCACCTTCCCTGGGAAGCAGTATGGGTCTCTGATCAGACATCAGGGACCTCAGGGAGGCTGTCAGCTTTGACCAAGCACCAAAACAACCCCAAACTCAGTGGCCAAACGACGGTATGTTCTGTGGGCCAGCAGTGGGGACAGGGCTCAGCTGGGACCTGTTGGCCCTAAATGGCCTCATCTGGGGCAGCTAAGGGGACTGCTCTCATAGCCAGTGTCCAACAGGCCCGCCCAGGCATCGCCATATGGTGGGCTCAGGCTTCTGGAAGCCCCGAAGAGGGCAAGCCTCTGCCCGTCACATCTACTATTGTCTTGTTGGCCAAAAGAAGCCACGAGGCCCAGCCCAGACATCACGTGGTGAGAGCTCCATCTGTACACTGGAAGCTGCAGTCACGGGGCAGAGGGTACGGATACGGGCGGGGGCGGGGGGGGGGGGGTCAGTAGCCATCTTTGCAGGCCGCCACATGAGCATCCCCATAATTCAGTCAGGTGGCAACTTGGTGGCAGCCCTGCTCTCACAGGGTCATGTTCTGGTGGGGGACAGAGACGCATGAACTGGAGACCGGGGTGACATGGTGGGGATTGGGCTGCTTTAGGCGAGGTGGCCCCAACATTGAAGCCCAGCCCCAAAGGACGACCCTCATGCAGAGGTCCAGCGATCCTCGTGTTCTGGGTGCTCTGGGAGCTTGAGGCGGGTTGCAGGGCCCGAGACAGGGCAGTGAGAGCCTCCCAGGGACGGGGATGCCAGGCTTGGCCTGTGGCCCGAGGGGGTGTGAGGACCCAGGCTGAACAGGTCCCTGAGGGACACGGAAGGTGGGGGCAGCCCCAGAGTGCTGGTGCAGACAGGCAAGCTTAAATGTACCGATGTAGGAAGTCAGAGATAAGCGAATCATCAAGTAGATACTTTAAGCCCTGGGAATATTTGTAAGATCCTGTGAAGGAAGGTGTAAGGGCAGGAGAGGGCACTGGGTAGAGTTGGGGCCGTCACCACCATCTGAGTGGTGCTAGTGGAAGTGTGAGCCACATCTAAATGTTCTGGTAGCCACATGAAAAAATATGAAGCTGATTTCAATAATACATTTCAATTAACCCGACACATTAAAACATATTACAATTTAAACGTGTTATTTGGTATTTTCATACTAAGTCTTCACAATGCCATATGCTCCAAACTGGTAGCACCGGCCGCCTTCCGGAGACTCCGTGGCCACAGGGGTTGGCTGCCATATGGGACAGGGCAGCCAGGGATGACAAGTGGCACATGGCACTGAAGCAGAGTGGCTGGAGAAGGGGGCAGGGAGGGCGGCAAGGTCCCCGAGCCACACCGCGGGGCGGGCTGCTGGTGGGTCTGCGTGGCTGGGTCCGAGTGCTGGTGACGGAGGCTGGGGAAGCAGGGGTGAGCACAGCAGGAGGGGGGCTGCCAGGGAAGGAAGGAAGTTGGTAGCCATGGGCTGAGGGGGGTGCTGCCGGGCAGAGGCCTAATCTGGGCAGGACAGAGCTTATACTCACGCTCCGCCCTGCAAGTATGGAGGTTAGAGCATGTGGATGGGGACTGGGGTGGCAGAGGGGCTGAGCGAGCACAGGGGTCCCAGGAGGCTCACCTGCTGCCTTGCCTGGTCACAGGATGGAGGAGTTGGGCCTGCACCCCGCCGATCGCCAGGTGTACTTTGGACAGCTGCTGGGCATGTGTGACCAGATCAGCTTCCCACTAGGTGAGCTGGGCCTCCCTGGGGGTGGGTTGGGTTGGTGTGTCGGGGTCGGACTCACTGCCTCTGCCTGTGCACACAGGTCAGGCAGGCTTCCCTGTGTACAAGTACGTGCCCTATGGCCCTGTGATGGAGGTGCTTCCCTACCTGTCCCGCCGTGCCCTGGAGAACAGCAGTATCATGAAGGGTGCCCTGCGGGAGCGGCAGCTGCTATGGCAAGAGCTCAAGCGGAGGCTGTGCACAGGCAGCCTCTTCAGCCGCCCCGCCTAGTGCCCGTGGGCCGCCACCACCACCACCTGCCACCAGACGGCCTCTCAGGGCCCTCAGGCCTGGGCAGGGTCTGTGCGGTCTGGGTGGCCCCTAGGCCGAGGCTGCTATAGTCCAGCCTCACACAGATTCACCTTTTTATACCCAAGACGATGAGACTGCTCGAAGTGGGGGCCTCTGTGACCCCTGGCTCCTACCAGGATGTGGGCACTCAGGTATAGGCTGAATCTGATACCTGCCAGAGCCACTGAGACCATCAGGACTGCCCTTTGAGTGGGCACTGCCACCATCTCTGCCCAGCCCATGACCTTAGACCTGAAGGTCCACCTTCCACCAGGGTCTAACCCACATACCTAAAGCCCTACAGGTGTCCAGTAGCCAGGATGAGGAAGGTGGGCTAATCAATAAACCACTATTTCTGCAGATAAGAACCCTCAAAGCCCTTTCCTGTGGCGCCCTCAGGTGGGGGTCAGCAGCAGAGAGGGAGTGGTTCCAGTGGCCGGAGAAAGCTCACCGGTCTGCCTAGTCCAAATCACGTGGCCTTGGGGGCCACGCCCACACCTCCCTTCAGGCTGTACCGCAGACCCCACCTTGCAGGGTGCTGGGCATCCCTACTCCCCAACTCCACAACCCAAGACAACAGCAGGGCTGCTAGGCTCAGACCGACGTAGACAGGATGCTTCCAGGGACTGGTGTGTGGTGCTTCCCCAACCTCCGTCTCTTCCTCCCTCAAACCCTTCCTGCTGCCCTGTGCCCACGACCTACACCAGGCTTTTGCTGCTCTGGTAGGAACAGGCCCGTGGCTGCTTGCCCCCCACTCTTCAGCTGCCAACCCCAGAGAAGAGACTGGATGTGGTCCTAGCACCCCAGCGGAAAGGGTGGGGCTGGGCCCACGTCTGCACGAGGAGAGCCCCAGGAAGGGGCCTCTGACAAGGGGGTGGGGGCACCCTCTGCTTGTTCCTGTCACGGAGCTACCAGGGAGGACTCCAGCTGGGTCCTGGTCATAACAGACATCACAGAGCTGTCACAAAGCCACTTGCAGGCCATACTGAGGCACCTTTATTTCTCTCGATCACACAGGGTTTGGGCTATGGAGCCTCTCCTACTTGGGGGCTGCACCTACCAAGAGAGGGGCCGAGACCAGAATAAGCACGAGGCCAGGAACCTGGCACAGTCGGGATGTGCTTGGTGGAGTGAGAATGTACAGGACCTCTAGCCCTACCCCCTGCCCAGCTCTGGGGCCGAGACCAGCAGGCTGGGCCCGCTCCCCCTTTACCACATCACTCTAGCTTTAGACATAAAAACCCAAAGGTGGGTGGCAGACACAGCCAGCGCCACCCTGTCTCTCCTCAGAGGGGTGACCTTTCCTGCAGGCACCTGGTACAGTGGTGGCCAGATATCAGGAAAACAAGTTCCCTGACTTTCTGTTACTTGTGGCGAGTGTGGGACAGGGCTGTCTTCCCAGCCAGGATGGGCCGTGTGTTACTGGCAGGGACCCCACCTGGTCACAGGGCTGCCTTCCCCGCCTGGCAGCCCCTTTGTTGCAGCTTCCGGATGAGTTCCAACAGGTTCATCTGTAGTGTCAGCTCCTGGGATGCAGAGGGGCCACTGTCAGTCCAGAATGACACCTGGTCCCATTTTGTCCCAGCAGAAGCCCCAGGCAGAAGCCTCCTTTACTCAAGGGCCCAGCAGCAGATATCAAGCCTAGAATATGCCAGGCACTGAGCCTATGGGGCTGACCAGTGAAGCCTGGCCACAGCCTGCCAGAGGCTGGGATTCCACGATACAGCAGGGCCTGCAGTTCCCAGGCTCGGTGCACACAGAGATGTAAGCAGAGGAGCAGAGGAGGGCCCTATGGGGCGCAGCGGAGCTGGGTGGGGAAGGTGAGCAATGCCCCTGTAGCCTACCAGCTTGCTCTCCTATGGGAAAGGCGGTGGGACCGGACTCTGTGCACAGAAACCCTTCCTGGAGCCTAACTCCTCCCATTTCCCCTTCCCTCACACACCCTGGGCCTCCCCACCCCAACCTCTACCCTGCCCGGGCAACCAGCCCTGAAATCCCAGATGGAATCTGGCCTTCGGGGATTAACATCCCCTGGGCTGTGCCAGGGCAGGTTCAGGGCACTGACCTGTGGGTTGGTGGTCACATAAAAGCCAGCAACCCCTGCTTTCTCCAGCGTGCTCTGCTGGTCTGCCACCTTCCGGTCCAGCTCCAGGATGATCTTCTGGTCCATGGCCCGCTGCTCCTCACGGATCCGGTGCTCCATCGCCTGCCACAGTGAGGGTAGCTCAAGGGCTCAGACTCAACCCATCAATTCCTCAAATACAGGGTCCTGGCCTGACACCTCCCCACCCTTCCAAAAGCTCAGGCACCCAGATCACTCCCTTCTTAGCCACATGAAACCCTCCAGAGGGGCCTGGCTGCCCTCCCTGCAACGCTCTCCTCTTTGGGACCTCCCGGCAGGCGTCCTCCCTTTGCTGTGCCAGGCCTTGCCCAGCAACAACAGCTCAGGACCATCATGAACTGGCTAGACGCCAGTTCCACCTCTGCTTACTAGCAAGCAGGCCACCGTCTCTGGGCCTCTGTGTACATTACTTCCCTCCTGAGGCTGCCTGAGGCTCCAGCTTGGCACCTCCTCCCATGCCCAGCCTTAAGGCTGCCTTGGGACCTCACATGCATCTCTACATGCACCCCCACCACCCATGGATTCTTGGTTACATTCAGGTTTCCTGGTTGTCCCTGAGTAACCTAGGAGCCAATGGGCCCCTGTCACCCCACCACTGCCCTTGAACCTCCAAGGCCATGAGCACAGTGGCCCCTCCTCAGCACCTGCCCTGCACAGGCCCAGCTCACCAGGAGCTGAGGTCGCGGTCTCGGGAAGCAGGTGGAGATCACATACTCTCCACCTGGTCCTGGCACACTCTGGCACCCCATGGTGAAGAGCCACATGCAAGAACTCCCCAGGCTTCAGCAGCCCTCCCCAGGCTGAGGTCCAGGGCCAGCCAGCAGCTCCCAAGTCACCCTGAGCCCTTCACCATGCCCGGTCAGCGGAGCCCAGGTGGTGCCCACCCTGGTGCGCCCATACCTCCTGCTCACGCTGCTGAGCTGCCTGGAGCACAGGCAAGTTGTGGGGCTGGCAGGCCTGCTGGGCTTCCTGGTGCTTCTGCCGTAGTGCCTGCCTGAGCACTGGGAGGGGACAAGACCAGAGAGTCCATCAGGAGGCAGCAAGGGTGAGATGGAGGGGACCAGTAAACACCTCCCGCCTCAGCGCCTGCTCTGCCTCGGCACCAAGCTGATGACCCAGCCTGCCCAAAGCCCTGCATAAGAAGCTGGGCAGAGCTCTGGCAGACACCCAGCCACCTAGCCATCCGGCCCACTTAGTCCCACCCCACCAAGGGCAGGGCCTTTCTCCAGCAGTGAGGCTCTAGGGGACTCAGGAGGGTGTAGGGCACTAGAAGAGAGTGAGGATGGGGCCAGGGCTGTAGCCTGGACTCAAGACCAAGTAGATGGGAGACTTTGATCCGGAGGCTTCTGGGCTCAGATGGCCACAGGCCAGCAGTCCTGGGTGTAACCTTCTCACCATCCATGGGACATCCACTGAGTCCACCCAGGAGACCACCCAGGCAAAGGCCTGGAAAAGGAGGATGAGGAGTCACTATGCCAGAGCAAGGTGTGGCCTCTGCCCAGATGTTCCAAAGGACAAGTAGCAAAGGGTCTAGAGCAGTGGTTCTCAACCTTCCTAATGCCGTGACCCTTTAATACAGCTCCTCATGTTGTGGTGACCCCAACCATAAAATTATTTTCGTTGCTACTTCATAACTGTAATTTTACTACTGTTATGTCTTAAGCAACCTCTGTGAAAAGGTTGTTTGACCCCCAAAGGGGTCGTGACCCACAGGTTGAGAACTGCTAGTCTAGAGAGTTATCGAAAACTTTCCACTAACAGGAACAGAGCCTTGGGCTCGCTTCAGCAGCACAAATACTGAAATTAGAACAATACAGAGAACATGAGCATGGAGCCTAACAGGACTGGGCAGAGGAGCGAGGTATCATGGGATGGAAAGAAACCAATCACAAAAAAAGAATATACAGCCCTGGCCGTGGTGGCCCACTGGTTAGAGCATCAGCCCGAGCATGGAAGGGTCTCGGGTTTGATTCCCAGTCAAGGGCCCATACGTGGGTTGCAGGTTTGATCCCTGGCCCCAGTTGGGGCATGTGTAGGAGGCAACCAATCAGTGTGTGTCTCTCATTGAAGTTTCTCTCTCCTTGCTCTCCCTCTTGCTCTCTTTCTCTCTCCCTCCCTCTCTTCCTTCCACTCTCTAAAAATTACTGGAAAAAGCCCTGGCTGGTTTGGCTCAGCGGTTAGAGCATTGGCCTGCAGACCAGAGTCACAGGTTCGATTCCGGTCAAGGGCATGTACCTTGGTTGCAGTTCAATCCCTGGCCCTGGTTGGTGTCATGTGGGAGGCAACCAATCAATGTTTCTCTCTCTCTCTCTCCCTCCCTGTCTCCCATTCTATCTGAAGATAAATGGAAAAATATCCTCGGGTGAGGATTTATCTTTTTTTTTTTTTATCCTCACCCGAGGATATTTTTCCATTTTTTTTGTACAGATAGAGTGGGAGGGAGAGAGAGGAAGGGAGAGAGAGAGAGAGAAACATCGACGTGAAGGGACACATCGAGTGGCTGTCACCCGCACGACCAACCAGGGCCGGGGACAAACTGCAACCGAAGTATGTGCCCTTAGCGGGAACCGAACCCGGGTCTCTCCGGACCGCAGGCTGACGCTCTAACCGCTGAGCCAAACTGGCCAGGGCGTCAGGTGAGGATTTAAAATAAATAAATAAAAATAAAAATTAATGGAAAAAATATCCTCAAGTGAGGATTAACCAAAAAAAATTATTTTATTTTATTTTTTTATCCTCACCCAAGGACATTTTTCCATTTTTTGTTCAGATAGAGTGGGAGGGAGAAAGAGAGAAACATCGGCGTGAAAGGGACACATCGAGTAGTTGCCACCTGCACGACCCAACCAGGGCCGGGGACAAACTGCAACCGAGGTACGCGCCCTTAGCGGGAACCGAACCCGGGTCTCTCTGGACCGCAGGACGACGCTCTTAACTGCTGAACCAAACTGGCCAGGGCCACAAAAAAAATTTTTTTTAAACAAACAAAACAGAATATACAACACCATGCAGCCCAAATCCTAGACCAGTAAGTGTCAAGTGGCTACAGCTCCCCATAAAGTGGGGTCCCTGGCCATAAGGAAACACAAGCCCAACTCTGTCCTAGGCAGAACCTCACATCACAGCTCTTCTCGGGAGGGCCCCTGAGGTTCTCCTGCCAGTAGTTTGGCACTTGCTGTGCCCACAGCCTTCTCCAGTCTCCTGTTTCTTGGCATTCAGTGCACACCTTCCCTATGGCATTTATCACATTAAATGAGTTTAAAACCAAGAGCCATCCTCGAGACACAGGGACAAGAAAGATGCTCCCTCGTTAATGTATCTACCAGGAGAGGCGGGATTTCAGGAAATGCATAATTGCAGGGAATGTCATCTCCTTCACTCTGTTTATTAAACGCTGATACAAATCTCAGTCAACTCCCAGATTCCACTGGATGAGCAACCAGAGGTAAGAGGAGAGCTGTGCCTGCTGCCAGGGTGGAAGGGGCAGGGCCTTAGCAATGACCGAGGAAAGTGACCACAGACAATGACCACCTGCTAAGTCAGAGGAAAAAGCAGAAAGTCACAGGGCGCTTGCCCACTGCCTGCAGCACCAAAACCTGCCCAAATGTTCTGAAGGACAAGTAGCAATGGGTCTGGAGAGTTACCAAAATCTTCCCACTAATGCCTCAGCAGCACATAGGCTAAAACTGGAACGATACAGAGATTAGCATGGCCCTTGCGCAAGGATGACATGCAAATTCATGAAGCATCCCATGTTTTTAACAAATAAGTATGATGAAGTACAATTTATTTAAAAAACAAACAAAAAAGGAACCAAAGCTCCATGGAGAAATGGCAGACTCCCTTTTTAAAAATTATTATTCTGAGTGCTTTATTTGCTCCCCAAACTACTGACCTCTGTGGAGATAAAGATTACCAAAACAAGAGCAAGCACTACTTACTGACAGCAAGAGCGAGCCACCACCACTGCCTGCATTTGACAGAGACTCAATCAAAGACAGGAGTGGAAACGCTTTATGGGGGCCAAAGAGGAAGGTCCATCCTAACGGGAGGTTGATTAGTGTGGGGAAGCTGAAGGCGGTCTACTAGAAGAGGGGCTGAGGTAGGGAAAGAACAAGAAAAGATGAGCCTGAAAACTTGCCTCTACCAGAAAGTAAGGAAGTACTCAAAGACACGGAGTACAGAAAGCCACAGGAGCCAGGTTGAAGTTCCCCCACTGGCCAAATGTGGCACGAGTTGAGCATTAAAAAGAATAATGAGCTATGTATTTTGGATTTGTGCGTGCATGCATCTTATACCTCAATGGAAATGTTTACAAAGGCAATCACCCAAACAGGGACGAAGTAATGCTGATCCTACATAAACTCTTCTGGACAACTGAAGAGAACACTTCCCAACTCATCCTACGAAGCCAGTATCTCCCTGATATCCAAACCAGACAAAGACATCGCAATAAAACTACAGAGGGATGTCCATCAGGAACGCAGAGGCAGTTCTTGAGATTTTAGCAAATCAAATCCAACATAGACAAAAAATATAATACATCATGACCAAGTAGGATTTATTCCAGTAATAGTTTATCCCAGGAATTAAAAAATCAGTGTAGTTCACCATACCAACCAAACAGTTACTGATCATCTTAATAGATGCAGAAAAAGGATTTGACAAAACCATCATCCATTTGATAGAAACATGCTAATTCTGGACAGAGATATATCACCTGTCCCCAAAGGGAAGGGATCTGTATCACTAGAGGAACTGTTGTCACAAATATTTAACCTGCATATCATCAGGCTCTACCTGCTGTCCACTTTACAGGAAACACAGAAGGTGGAGAAACAGGCTAAATGACGCACTGAAGGTGCAATCTGACAGAACCTGAGTGGGCACATTCTACGGTAGACTGCCCTGGAGTCTTCGAAAGGTCAATGCCACAATAAATGTTGGGGGACTCTTCCAGAAGCTGAGAGACCAAAGAAACCAACTGCAGTGCATGAATCGACACTGAATCCTTGTAAAGTGACAGACAATTTGAGATGAGTTAGGTAATGTGACCATGGACTGAAGATCAGAAGACACCCCTGCATGATTTTCTCAGGAGGCTAGCCACTATAGTCACATAGGAGTGTTATTGTTCTGAGGCACTGGTTCTCAATCCTGGGCAAAATCTGACTCCCAAGAATGTCTGAAGAGATTTTTGGTTGTCATGACTGGGGGAGGGAGCCCAGTGGACAGAAGCCAGGGATGCTTCTAAACATCCTGCTATGCACAGGACATTGCCTCACCATTAACGCTTGTCCAGACACAAATATAAACACTGCTGTGGTTGAAAACCAGAGTCCCTAGAAGAATGCTGAAGACTCGCGGTGAAGCCCTATGGTACTGCAGAGGTTTAGAAATGTAAAGGGCTTTGGCAGAACGTTAATTATTGACTCTAGCAGGAGAGCATATGGACATTCATTACACGATTTTTTGCAACGTTTCTAAAAGTTTTTATAAATAAGAAAGGGAACGATAAAATAACAAAAGTGGGAAACCTGACAGGGTAAGGAGAACTGCCCAGCATACATTGCAGGAAGGGGCTCCGGAGCCCCCAGAGTGAAGACGCCTGAGAGGGGCCGAGGCTCACGAGTCTTTGGCCCAGTGTGTGACTCAAATGGGTACATTTTGGGGTCCCAGAGAGGGTCACAGGGCACAGTGTATGGGAATTCAATGCACAGCTGGCGTGGGGCTCTGCTCCACAGGAGAGAGAACTGACCACAAAGGGCGCTGTAGAGCTGTCAACACTTGGGGCATCATTGGGGGCAGAACCGCTATGTGGACCGCCACAACCAGGATTTGCCCGTGGGTCTTGGGCCATCCTGCCTGGAGGGGGATGGGAACACGGGGAAGCCCAAGCAGGAAGTTTCGGGTGTTAGGCTAAAAGGGGACCCGAGCAACTGACAAACTAAAACTGGCTTGATAACATCTGTCACCAAAAAAGCGCTAGCAAAGGTTCCGCGCCCTTGATCTAGCCCATTTTAGGAACTGCTTCCGAGCGACACCCAGGAAAAGGCTCGGCCAGCAGAGACCGGGAGCTCCCAGGGCAGGCTGACCTCCCGGAGGAGGAGCGTGCGTCGTCCCGCCGCCCCCGCGCACCTCGGTGCTCGTTCTGCAGCCGCAGTCGTTGGTTGTACAGGCTCTTCTCGGTGAGGTGCTGGATCTCCAGCAGTCCCTGCACTATCTCGAACACAGTGCCGTCAAGGAGCGCCAGGGCCAGGTCGCTGAGCGTGGTGTAGGACAGGCGTTGTTGGAAAGAGCTGCGGGCAGAGGGGCGCGGTGAGTGCGGGCAGGACCTGCAGCTGCCACAGTCGCCCGCCCCGCGGCCGCACACCTGGGCAGCTCCTTGACCAGGCTCTGCAGCGCCGACAACAGCTGATAATGCCTCTCCTGCTGCCGAGTCCCATCCGCTGCCTCCTCCAAGACGCCTGCATAGCGATCCATAACCCCACACCCCGCCACCGCGCACCGGAGCGACGCTCCCCTCCGCTACGTCAGTCCAGAGCGCGGCGCGTCCCGCCCCCTTTTACGACAGTTCTGAGCAGGGCGCGGCCCGCTTTCAAAGTCGGCCAGAACGAGGCTCGCTCCGCCCCTCCGCGGAGGCTCCATGGAGGGTCTCGCATTGTCCACGCCCCTTACCCTGCCGTCCCGCCCACTCAGCCTCGGAGGCGTAACTCCACGGCCTCGAAGTCGCAAGAAGCCTGCTCAGCCAGCACTGAGTCGGCGCAGTCCCAGCCCGTCCCCTTCGTGGCCTCTGGGCGCTTATCGCCTAGCTGGGCTGCGTCGTGCAAGGGCTCGTCCTGCTCAGATGTGGGGCGGCTGGATGATCCTGCTGCCTCAACCTGGCGTCTTCCTGCGCAAAGTGTTTGAGTGGTTGAAGCCTCAAGCTCCACCAATTTCAAGCGGCGTGACCTTGCGCCGGTTTTAACACCTTTGGGCCTCACTCTCCTCGTCTTCCACTGTAGTGGACGTGGCTAGTCCGGGCCACTTGTCAGCGAGCCCCCTCGCCCGGGTCTGGACGCTCCAGGCAGGGCCTGTGCGCTGGAGGCTGTGCCTGGCACCGGGCTGGCATCCCCGCCCCTCGTCCACCTCCACCCAGCATCGTCAGCATGGAGAAGAAAACCCAGTTCAATGACTCATTCCATCGTTGAGAAAAAAATTACCGGGAATCCCCAACTCTACTTTTTATAAACTAAAAATCTACCAAAAACAAACAAACAAACAAAAAAACCCGACTGCTGACTACTCTGCTGGGCTCTTGGAGGCCGGGAACGGGGGATTCCCGCATTAGAGAACTAATACTGTCAAGAAAGGCGGCGGGCTGAGGAGGGTCTGCCGGGTCTGCAAAGCAGGGAAGAATTCAAGATAGCAGTCCAGGTGGTTTTGAAAATATGTTTATTAAAGCTTCGGACAGTGAAACAAAGGAAGGGCTTAGGACAGAAGAAGCAAGATCACAGTAACAGGAGTGAGCCAAGGCAGGACTGCTTTGGGCTCACTGAAAAGTTAGGCAGGAGGAGGGCCCTGGGGCTTAGGAGAAAAAGTAAAATTACACAAGCCTGAAGAAAGGGGGACACGGGTGTGTTCAAGAGGAGCGCAAACTAGCTGCCTTTGTCCAGAGGTTTTTATCGTTTTTTCTGCAGGTGGGAATTTTAGGGGAGGTCTCACTCAGAATATTCATCATCTTTCCAGGTGTGTCCTTTCATATGCTGATACATCAAAATGAGCCCATAAAGGGGTTTGGGATCATTCTCTGGTCAGCTTCCCCTCTAGCTTGGATTTGTCTGTCTCTAACTGGAATTTTTTTGGTTATTTATTATCCTGACTCATTCCTTCTTCCTTTGGCTGGCTCTAATGACACTCACTGGGTCTCTTATCTTTCTCCCTGACTAGGGTAATTTAAGCTACCCACTCTGGTTGGGGAGGAGAGATGTAAACCATCTGCTCTTAAATGTCTTTGTTTAGGGAGTATAGGGTCTTGTGATTTATTAGCTGGCTGTTAATTGCTTGGCCATTTGTTGAACTATTTTGTCTCCCTTCTCATTCCACTTGTCAGGGAATTTCCTAGCTTTTCACTAACCTGCCTCAGCATCATGCCTTCCTCCTCTCAGAGGGAGGGGCTCTGCACTGCCAAAAATTGGGAAGGGGCTGTGCTGTACAGTAAAATGTAAAAGTGGGTAGAATTGGGGGGGGGGGGGACCAGAAGGTTGAAAGCTCTGCCTGTGGCTTGTCCCGAAATGCAGAGTGCTTGAGAGGCTCCTGGCAGGAAGGGCTGCTAGCCTCTATGAATTTGGGCCCAGTTAACCACGAGAAGTCCGTTTCGACAAATCTATTTCTTCTTGAGGTTCACAGAGGGGACTGGGTGGCGAGTGGTACTGAGTTTTCAGTCTGGGCCCACCTTTCACCTGTGCCCCTGCCCTCAGTCCCCCATCTGTGGAGGGTGCCACATGAAGCCTGGGGTCTGTGGGGGGATTTATGCTGTGGTCATCTGAGTGACCACAAGGCCCCTCTACCCAGGCTTTCTCCAGGCACCTGGTGGCTCTGTGTCCTGGGTGGGCTAGTGGGTGGGCAGAGCTGCACCAGGAGCCTGACAGATCAGGGTTTGGAAGTTGCTTAGCAGACTTGCTTGGCTGCTGGAGCACAAAGGACCCTTCAGGCAACCCTGGTCTGACCTGAACCAGCTCCCCCACTCCAGCAGCACTGCTCCCCCTGTGTGGACACAGGCAATGGGTCACTAGGCATGGAGACTCCTCGCCACCTCTGAGTCACCAGGGAGGGTCTGCTCTGGAGGGAAAAGTTCTGACCAGCTAGCTCTCCAAGGCTGGGTGTTGTGGGCACCCCTCAGGAGGTGTGTGCAGGAATGGGGAGGGAGGGCTGACATGCAGATGGGTATGCAGTTGGGGTACATGTCCCTTGTGTGTGTGGACTCGGTGGGGCCACGTGCACGCACATGTTGGGTGTCCACCATGGGCCTTCACTCCAAAGCCACTATCCAGCTGCTCCACCTGGCCTCCCAAGCCTCTGAAACTGTTGCTGAACTCAAAGGGTTCACTGCTTGGGGTGTTCCAACCAAGAATGAGATCTGGCCCTGGCCAGTTTGGCTTAGTGGTTAGAGCGTTGGCCCATGGCCCAAAGAGACCCGGGTTCAGTTCCCACTAAGGGCACATACCTCGGTTGCAGTTTGTCCCCGGCCCTGATCGGGGTCATATGGGAGGCAGCCACTCGGTGTGTCCCTTTCACGTCGATGCCTCTCCCCCTCCCCCGCAACTCTATCTGAACAAAAATGGAAAAAGGTCCTCGGGTGAGGATTAAAAAAAAAAAAAGAATGAGATCTGGCCATCCTTAGTTTTATTTACTTGTAGCAAGTAAAAGAGACAGGGGATTCACATCCAAAGCTGTCTCTTTGAAGGGAGGCTTAGCCATTGCTTCCATACACTATTTGGTTAATTACCTGTTGATTTCTTCTTTGCAGTTGACTAAATTTATGGTTGGATTCTGGTCAAGTTCATGTGGTTACAGTGTCTGCAAAATACTCTGCTACACTTTAACATTTAGCAAGAATAACATTTAGTAAGGACCACCCAGACCTTGAGACCCTTGTCCTATGTAACAAAGCTAGCTGAAGGCACCTCGGTGACTGGAGCACACTGGTCTGGGAGTCCTTAGTTCTCCAGTGTTGGGCAGGCGCAGGTGACTGTGGTGTGTGTTCAAGAGCTGTGGATCCCCATCTTGATCCCCTCCTACCTGATTCCCTGAGCTTCCAGCCAGGAGATGATGGTCAAGGGCAGCTGTTATTGTGGTGCCTTGTTAAAACTGTTGGGTCTTGCCCTGACCAGTTTGGCTCAGCATTGAGCATTGGCCTGCGGACCAGAGAGTCCCAGGTTCGGTTCCCGCTAAGGGCACATACCACACAAAAAAACAAAACAAAACAAAACAAAAAAACCCACAAAACTGTTGGGTTTCTATTTCTATTAAAAATACCTAATAGAATTTGGGTTAAAATTTGCTGTGATGAGAGAAAAAGAAGTGAAAGGAACATTGAGTGCGAGGCTTGAGCTGATTCATGCTATGTACTGTTGTACAAATGTGCAATTGGTTTTGCAGCGTGTACTGTGGGTGTTTATGATGTTAGAACTCTCCCTTGATGTGCAGGTGTTCACTGTATAAATGACACCTTGCTGGCCGAGTAGATTTTCCTGAAATAAGATCAGTGAACACACAGCACTGAATCCCTTGGGCAAGCAGAGAACACTTACTATCTTTCACAAACTAAAGGATTTGTATGTTCCTGGTGCAAAAGATGCAACTCCTGCAAAAGTGTGCCCATTTATCTTGCAGAAAATAGGCCACACACCACGGGGCTTTGCCCTACATTTTCCAAACAGATTAACACCATTGGACCTTTCAGTCTCCTTCTGGAGGTTGACACGGTCACTATTCTCTTTGGAAAAAAAGATAGGGGAGACCCTGCAAGCTGACTGGCCAGGTACAGAATATAAAACTTCAGGTGGTGGACCTGGTAGCTAAAGTGTTTGGTGACGAGGGGCACGTGGTCCTTGACTGTTGTACCAGAAACCTCTGATGAGTTGTACCAGTGGCCAGTTAGAGGTAAAGAAGGAGGGAACCCCTAAACCTGACGAAAACATTCCATAGTTGCTGCTCATCCTCCTGCACCATGGGAAAGGTAAAACTGCTTCTCTCCAACTGGTATGAAACTCTCCTGGGGCTCAGGGGCATTGGTACCACTGAGATGCGCTGAGGTCTGCACTTAGAGGCAGCAGGAAGGGAGGGGGCGGAGGGAAGGGAGGGATGGCTTGGCTCCCCTGGACAGCACACAAGGGAATCTGCAAGTCCGCTGGATGACAAGAAGTGGACCTCACTCAGTCGTCTAATGATTACCCTATTCCCCACGCCTGCCTGGCCATGACCACTGTGCCAGTGACGTGGGCGTGGAAGAGGAATTAGCAAAGACCACCTGGGGCTCATCACAAATGGTCTTTATACCCACAGTGACACAGGGGCCCACCCAGAAGCATTTCTGTCATCTCATAAGTGTCCGTGGACAGTGGTAGGGAAATATCTGTCTTTCCAGGGCCAGTGTAGCCAGGCCTGGGCTTACAATGGAAACATGAGTGCCTAGAAGAGAGGCGGTCACTGGGTTAGTATGCTTGGGCTGTCATAGCACAGTACCATAGACTCTGCTATTATAACAATAGAAACTTATTTGTTCACAGTCCTGGAGGCTGTAAGTGTGAGATCAAGGTGCCAGCAGGGTTGTTGTCTCCTGGGGCCTCTCTCCTTGGCCTGTAGACAACCACCTTCTTGCTGTGTCCTCATGGGGCCTTCCCTCTGTGGGTGTCTGTGTCCTCTTCTTATAAGGACACCAGCCATATTGAATTAGGGTCCATCCTCATGATTCATTTTAATGTCATGATGTTTTTAGAGGTCCTATCTCCAAACACAGTCATGCTGGGTTGCTGTAGTTTTCTATCGACCTTGATCATGGTTGTACTGAGAGATGTCCTAACAGATCTGTAAT